CACTCACACACACTCTCACACACTTTCACACTCACACCAACACACACGCTCTCACACTCACACCAACACACACTCTCTCACACTCACACCCACACACACACTCTCTCTCACACTCACTCCCACACACACACTCTCTCTCACACTCACACCCACACACACTCTCTCTCAGACCCACACTCCATGCCTATGACAGTGTTGTATTTTCGAGAATTTCTGTCACACGGATGACAGTGTTTTGCTGCACAAAGTTGTGGCAAAGACTTACATTTTGTGGATTGAGACCATTCGAGGGGGATTGTGTGACAGCACATGTGTCGCGAGGTTAAGGATATCATCAGCCCAGCCCTGGGGGAAACAGGCAAAGTTACAGGTAAGGGATCAGAGAGTCTGAGCCTGCATCTGTATCACCGCAACGCACACTGTCAGGACAGACTGGGGAACAGTGCAATGTCAGAGCTCCAGGAAGGACAGAGCTCAGTGCCTGCTTTAGCTGCAGATTATTTTCCCAAACACTGACAATGTCTTCCTGCAAGGAGCGCAAATCCTGTCAGAAACCACATCTGTGTCACCTTGGGCACACACACTCACTCCCCCCTCGTCCACATCGCAGGAATAAAGAAATGAAACAGGGACCTGCAAGGTTTCTTCTGCCTTTAATCCCCACTGAAAAATAACTGCCCGATCCAGTCCTTTGTCAAATAGCACAGAATACCCAATAATACTGAGGGAGTGCCGCAGTGCTGAGGAAGTGTCGCACTGTCAGAGGGTCAGTACTGAGGGAGTGCTGCACTGTGGGAGGGTCAGTACTGAGGGAGTGCTGCACTGTAGGAGGGTCAGTACTGAGGGAGTGCCACACTGTCAGAGGTTCAGTACTGAGTTGTAGTAGCAGTAGTGTGTGCCTGGGGAAGCAGTGTTGATGTTGGAGAGTGATGTTTTTGTTTCGATTTCACAGAGAGCCTGTCTGTGGAAGACAGATCCCGGCAGCAGCCTCTTACCTTCACCACGTTCGGCTTGAAGGCGACAAAGTTATCAAAGGTCAGGTTCACAAAGTCGGGTCCTGACACCACCGTGAGGCACTTGGAATAGAAATTGGACTCTGGGTTTTCCACATTAAAAATCTCCCGGATTTTCGGATGCTGTGAAGAAAACAGGATTACAGAATCATCAGAAGAATACACACTGGATCCTACTGACAATCGAAGTCAATCCACAGTCTGGAACATCTCTGGACCCTGCTGAGGACAGGGACTGGATCACAGGACGGTACTGGGACAGAGCAGGGACAGGCAGGAGGGGGGCTCGGGAGGATGGGGACCGTGTGTCAGGGCCAGTTGGGTGAGTGAGGGTGGATGTGGTTGTGTGAGGGTGGGTGAGGGCATTTAGGGATGGAGGGTGAGGGTGTGTGTGTGTAGGGACAGTGAGTATGGGTATCTGAGGGTGGGTGAGGGTATGTGAGGATGGGTGAGGGTGTGTAGGAATGAGTGGGTGGGTGAGGGTAGGTGTGGGTGAGTGAGTGTATGTAGGGATGGTGGGTGAGTGAGAGTGTGTAGGGACGGTGCAGTGGATGAGGGTGTAGGGACAGAGGGTGGGTGAAGGTATGTGAGGGTAGGTGAGGGTGGATGAGAGAGTGTAGGGACAGGAGGTGAGTGAGTGTGTAGGGACGGTGTAGTGGGTGAGGGTGTAGGGACAGTGAGTGAGTGACAGTGTGTAGGGACGGTGCAGTGGATGAGGGTGTAGGGATAGAGGATGTGGTGAAGATGTGTGAGGGTAGGTGAGGGTGGATGACAGTGTGTAGGGATGGTAGGTGAGTGACAGTGTGTAAGGAGGGTGTAGGGACGGTAGGTGAGTGACAGTGTGTAAGGAGGGTGTAGTGGGTGAGGGTGTAGGGAAGGTAGATGAGTGGCAGTGTGTAAGGAGGCTGTAGTGGCTGAGGGTTTAGGGACGTGAGTGTAGGTGAGTGTCTGTGTTGGGGGTGCGGTGGATATTGGGCTGGGATCTCTGACCCTCAGGCAGAGCCTCACTGCGGTTCGAACACTCAGTCTGAGATCCGGACTTCCTGAGGTTCAGATGTTCAGAGCTGAAGGAGGAAGTCAGCAACAGCTCATTTGCCTGTGGGCTCCTTCCTGCGTTCTGGTTTGTCAGTCTACTTTGATTTTTTAACTAAAAGGTGAATCACTAAATTCAAACGAGGCAGGCTCGGAAACACGCTCAAAGATACCTCACAGTCACACGCCTCCCATCAACAGTGACAACAACACCCTCACACGTCAACACAGAGCAGGGTGACCTTCACTAGTCCTACGTGAACATTCCCTCATCCCCAGAGCAATGTTCAGCAAGAACTCCACCTGTTTCCCCTTTATTTTACTGTCATATCACGTGTGATATTAAGCTAAATCTTGATTTGCACATCCTATGTTTTTAATCATTCACAGGATTGGGTGTCGCTACCTAGGCCCAGCGTTTATTGCCCGTCCCTAATTGCCCAGAGGGCAAGTTAAGAGTCAACCACATTGCTGTGGGTCTGGAGTCACCTGTAGGCCAGAACAGGCAAAGATGACAGTTTCCTTCCCTAAAGGGCATTAGTGAAATGAATTGGGTTTTACAACAATCGATCATGGTTACGTCGCTGTCACTAGATTAGCTTTTAATTGCCCATTATATTGAATTAAAATTGCACCATCTGCCATGGTGGGAATTGAACCCAGGCTCCCTCCAGCATTTGGCGGGGTCTCTGGATTACTACCCCAGCGATAATGCCACTCAGCCACCACCTTCCCAAATGAGTGCTTCCTTTGGGTCTTCCCCCAGTTGTACCTTTTCCATGTAGCAGGATCCAATTTACAGACTCTCAGCACACTGTATCTGAGTTTAGGCATCCTATGGGACAGACTCCCATACTCAGCTAGGTAGTAAATACTGGCTTTGGTATGTGGGAATCCTCCACACGGACTTTAAAATTAAGGCCAATAATCCATCTGCCTTCAGTTTTCCCCTTGGATCTTGGATGCTAACTTTATGCGATTCATGGACGAGAACTCCCAAATCCCTCTGTTCTGTAGCTTTCTGCAGTCTTTCTCCATTTAAGTAATATTCAGCCCCTCTGCTCTTCCTGCCAATGTGCATAACCTCACATTTTCCCACATTATATTCCAACTGCCTAGGTTTTTCCCACTCACTTAACCTGTCAGTGTCCCTCTGCAACCTCACCACTTGCCTTCCCACCTATTTTTTGTGCCATCCGCAAACTTGCCAATGGTAAATTCATTTTCCTCATCCAAATCATTGCTGTATATTGTAAACAATTGTGGCCCCAGCAGTGATCCCTGTGGCACTTCACTAGTTGCCATCCTGATAAAGCGCCCTTTTATCCCAACTCTCTGTCTTCTATGAGTTAACCAATCCTCTATCCATGTTAATGTACTATCTCCAAAACCACAGATTCTTATTACATAGCTTTATACGTGGTACCTTATCAAATGTCTTTTGTAAATCCAAACATATCATGCCCATTGCTTCCCCTTTATCTACGATACTTATTAACTCCTCAAAGAACTGTAATAAATTAGTCAAGCATGATTTTCCATCTTGACACTATGTGGACTCCACTTGATCATATCATGCATTTCTAAATACTCTGCTATTATAATAGGCACTTTCCCAACACATTAAGCTCACTTATCTATAGCTACCAGTTTATTGTCTCCTTCCTTTTTTAAATGAAGATGTGGCATTGCCAGTTTTCCAGTCCTCTGGGATTTTTTCCAGAAGCTAAGGACTCTTGGAAAATTACTACCAGTTCATCCACTATCTCTATAGGTACTTCCTTTAGTATCCTGGAAGACATCCCATCAGGGCCAGGGGACTTACTGGACTTTATCCCCATTAGTTTTCTTAGTCCAGTTTGTCTCGTGATAGTTATCGTGTTTAAATTCTCCACTCAACCCCTTTTCCTTGAGAATAGAGTTTATTGACTACTCAGTCAATTCAGCTCATTCTATACCACTTGTTTCCCCTTTATATTTATTCTACAATTTCACTAATCAATTAACCCTGTCTGCAGCCTAACCTTTGTCATACTGACAGACTTCCCCATCTTCTCTTCTAATTAAAACTTTTAAAATCAGATAAACAGAAGCTGTAGAAAAATCACCAGAATACTTTTTGTCATATTCTGCATTCTTTTACACAACTTTCAATACTCTCCCTTCTTTCTTCAAACAAAAAAGAATTATGGCAAGTTCAACCACAAAACAACCCGAACGCAAAAACAAACTTACTTTATTTTCTTAGAATTCCTCATACCACGAGACATCCCCTCTTTGAGGATCTCTAATTATTTGCAGAACCATCTTTTCTTGTAAAATAACTGTTGACTTGCGCCTTCTCTCTTTTCTGAAACTCACAGAAACCTTTATCTAAAGAGTGGCTTTAGGAACTCCAGGTTACGAGTTCCAATGTTGTTTCGAATATTTAATTCTTTCCCAAACCAAGTTGTAGAAACCTTTTCCTTCACTGGATGCAGGAGCTGTGCATAGTGATACTGTGGTTGGTTTAGATCATCGTTCCGGGTTTCGGAAACAAAGCAGCCAAAGCTGCATCCTTGTGGGGCTCAGTGACCCCTTTATAGCAAGACATGGAAATAGTCCCGGCCCTGACCAAGTTCCCAAATAGACATCCTGGTGTCCAACACTTTCACCAGGTCCAACTGCGCTTGGATAGACCTTAATGTTGGGCAAAACACAATATGTTTCCCACCCTTGTGCCTCTTACAATCAAAGAAATTCTCAGCAATTTGCTAGTCTCATTGCAGCTTTGCCTTGTAATCTTTCAGAATCTCAATATATCTCTGTCCTTTAATAATCTTTGCTGTCTAAGGATGCCATAATCCATCCTATAGAAATTCAGTCCCAAGAGAATCTTATTTAAAGATTCTTACAGCGCAGAAAAGACTCTTTGGCCCATCGAGTCTGCACCAACATAACTACCACAGAGAGTGCACTCATCCCAATTTCCTGCACTTGGCCCATATCCTTGAATGTTATGATATTTGAAGTGCTCATCCAAATATTAAGGTTTCTGGCCTCCACTACCTTCCCAGGCAGTGCATTCCAGGCTCTCCCCACTCACTGAGTGAAAAATCCCCTATGAATCACTGCCCCTTATCTAAAAACTGTGCCCTCTCATCATTGACCCCTCAACCAAGGGGAACAGCTGCTATTCACCCTGTCCATATCCCTCACAATGTTATACAATCTATCATGTCCCGCTCAGTCTTCTCTGCTCTAAAGCAAACAATCTAAGCCTATTTACTGTCTCCTGACAGTTCAATTTCTCCGTCCCAGACAACATTCTGGTGAATCACCTCTGTTACCCCTGCTAGTGCTATCACATCCCTCCGGCACCATTTCTCCAAACCGCATCTGGGTCCAATTTCTGAACACAGGCTTGTACCCCAGGGGATGGGGGCAATTGGAGCCAGGTCAATGTTGGTTCGAAACGTTGTGCATCATGAGACTGAATCCATCCATTATACGAGACAGCTTCTTGAAATCCTGCTTCCCAAAACATTCCCGGCTGGTTGCTTCCTGGAGAGATGGCTTGGGGGAAATCACCCAAGACAACTTTCTGCTCGCCTTCCCGCGTTCGCAATTGGCAAACCATGTGAATGAGTTTGTTACGTTTCTGACCACCAAGGTGACTCTATACCTCCCGTACAAAGCCATCAAAGTCCTCAAGCCTTCGCAGTCTGCACTAATGCTACCACCAACTCTTCGGATTAAGATTTTCATCTTCTCGCTTGATTTTTGAAAATCTGATTTCTTGTTAACATTTCATTTGTCTTAGCAAAGTCAGACTTTCCTCAGCAATGCCTATACATCGTCCCAAAGAGAAAACATACATTTCTATGGGTTAATGTTTCTCAGATTGCCATTGATTTCCTTCTGAATGTTAGACAAGTATACCACCTTAACTATTGCTTCTGCTATTGCCAGTATTTCTGCAGCTAAGGTACTATTAACTACCATATTTATTTTCTTTGCTTCCCAGGTCATATTTATTATTCTTTCCTATCAACTATATGATAAACTTTGATGTGCTAGAATATCTATCATGAGATCAATATGTGGACTACCACTTAAAAGGATTCATTTCATATCTTCTGGGTTATCCAAAGTTGGAAACTTGAGAGTGTTTATTTTTCTGAATTTAACTTATTTAACATTTTCTTTGCTCTGTAGACTTTTCTCAACTGTAGGCTTTCTCTTTGTCTGTTAGGATGCAAATTCATCTTTCTCTGATGATCTGGCCTGATTTATTGGGATGTGATTAACACTTTCCAAAGAAGAACATTGATACAGCTTCACTCTAGATTCACTCAGCTCAATATTTAAGCCAGTATTTTCAATATGTTCTGAGTTAGACTGGAAACTTTGCAGTACCAGAAGTGACAGCTTTGAGCCCTGATCAGATCATTTCTTACTATATAATGCACAGAAAAATGAATGGGCATAAGGCTGTCACTTTTAGACCTGTAAAGTACCCAGTCTATCTCAGATTGCCCTTGAAGAGCAAAGTAACTCAAAAGGTTCAGTAACAATGTTCCCCTTGAATTGTCATTCTTGCAAATTGTCCTGATGAGTATAAGATGAAACCATTTTTCAGTAATACATCATTCAAGTTTCATAGAACCTGTCCACAGAACATCATTGAGGTAGGTCATGAGAAGTCCTGTTAATTTCTCTCTGTGATACCATGGATTATTGCTGGAGTCAAGAGTCATACAGTCATACAGCATGGAAACAGACCCTTCGATCCAACTCATCGATGTTGACCAAGTTTCCCATACTGAACTAATCCCATTTGCTTGCATTTGGCCCATATGACTCTAAAGCTTTCCTATCCATGTACCTGCCCAGATGACTTTTAAATGTCATAATTGCACCTGCCTGTACACTTCCTCTGGCAGCTCATTCCATACATGCGAGAAAATGTTGCCCCTTAGGTCCGTTTTAAATCTTTCTCCTTAAACCTATGCCCTGTAATTTTGGACTCCTCCAGCCCAGGGAAAAGACTTTGGTTATTCACTCTATCTATGCCCCTCATGATTTTATAAACCTCTATAAGGTCACCCTCAGCCTCTGACCCTCCAGGGAAATTAGCCCCAGCCTATTCAGCCTCTCCCTATACCTCAAACCCTCCAACCCTGGCAACATCCTTGTAAATCTTTTTGGCACTCTTTCAAGTTTAACAACATCTTTCCTATAGCAGGGAGACCGGAATTGAACGCAGTATTCCAAAAGTGGTCTAACCAATGTCCCATACTTCTGCAACATGACCTCCCAACTCCTATACTCAATGCACTGACCAATAAAGGCAAGTGTGCCAAATGCCTTCTTCACTATCCTGTTTACCTGTGACTCCACTTTTAAGGAACTATGAACCTGCACTCCAGGGTCTCTTTGTTCAGCAACACTCCCCAGGACCTTACCATTAAGTGTATAAGTCCTGCCCTGATTTCCCTTACCAAAATGCCACACCTCACGTTTATCTAAATTAAACTTCATCTGCCACTCCTCGGCACATTGGTCCATCTGATCAAGGTCCCGTTGTATTCTGAGATAACTTTCTTCACTGTCCACTACACCATCAGTTTTCTTCAAGATCACTTCTCCTACAGCAGCGAAATCCACTTAGATAGATTAATCACTTAGTCTTTCCCTGAAGCCTGAGCCAGTCTGACTTTAGCTATTTTTAACCCATCAGCACACCTATCTCTGTATAATGGTGCCAGCTATCCCCTGTCTGGTACCTCGGTAGATACACCAAATCTTTCTCAGCTCTCCAACTCTTTTTTTTTATTTCTTTTATCAGCTTAACTTCTGAATTGTTTGTAGCCTTTTGTTCATCATTTAGATCGATTGCTGAGGGGCATCTGACTGCCCTTATCTTTGACCATAGATTCCCTACAGTGTGGAATTCAGCCCATCAAGTCTGCACCAACCTTCCAAGCAGCATCTGGCCCAAATCCAGACCCCCATCCCATCACTGTAACCCCACCTTTCCCATGTCTAACACACCTAGCCTGCACTTCCTTGGACTCTATGGGCAATTTCCCATGGCCAACCAACCTACCCTGCATATCTTTGGACTGTGGGAGGGAACCGGAGCATCCGGAGGAAGCCCACACAGACACGGGGAGAACGTACAGACTCCACACAGACAGTCCCAAGTTTGGAATCGAACCCGGGTCCTTGGCACTGTGAGGCAACAGTGCTAACCACTGAGCCACCATGCCACACATAATTTCTCATGGTATTCCTGATCTGTTCCATAGTCCTTGTTCTTGTCAAACTATGGCTCCCTCTCACCCTCCTGTTTCAGTCTGGACTGTTACTACAATATACCCCGCTCCTGTAATCAGAATCCCCTTCGTAAGATCATTATCTTTTCCTCGGGCTATATTCACTTCCAGGTTTATGTTCAGGGGTCATTCTGCGTTTTCTGGCCTTCCAAGTCTTTATCCCATTTTGCCAACTGGCTATTCCTCACCTGGCACATTTAGCCGATGTTCGTATTTGCCAGTGGCACTTCCTGCCCTCCCTATAACAGCATCAATCCTCCAATCAGTGGTCACCTTGGCACGTGTTGCCTTGGTGCCAACTCCCCTGCATAAATAGTCTTGTCTTGTGCCTATATACCACTTTGCCTCATACCTTGCTGTATGGCTCACTGAAATTTTTCTGCTACTTCAGCCTTATTGTATGTCCTTCTCTCCCCGTGTCAGTGTAAACCTTGTGGGCACAGCCCATTGAGAAATCTCTGGGGCTGAGAGATCTCAAGTGGCCATTTGCTTCAAATTTCATGTAAGCTCTAATTCAGGATAGTTTACCTCAACTCACATTAATCATTGATCCACATGGGATGGGTTTCTCTGACCACCACACCACCACCACCTCAGATGGTTATATGCCTAAGTTCATAAGTTATAGGGGCAGAATTGGGCCATTCGGCCCATCAAAGTCTGCTCCACCATCCAATCATGGCCGACATGCTCTTCACCCCGATTTCCTGCCTATGTTTAGGAAAATGATG